TCAGCAGTGTACTTCGGTCCTTCTGCCTGCTCTGCTCCCCGCTCTGGCTCTGGTGAGTTCTCTCGCCCTCCCGCGCTTCTGACTGTACCCAGTGCATGTATAAAAAAAAAAAACAAGCAAACAAACAAATAAAAAAAATAATAAAAATAAAAATATTAAAAAAAAAAAAAAGAAAGTGAAAATCAAAATCAACAAAAAACTATGAACCAGAGACACTTTTTGGGGGGTGGGGGACGGGAGGGGAAGGATTGGGGTCAGAATGGGGCGTTTGCAATTGTATGGGGGAATATAAAAATAAAATTTATTATTTAAAAAAAAAAAAATCCTCACTAGCATCCCCCTTCCAGAGGGTGCCACCAATAACAACTTTTGTCTCAGTCCCCTGTTATAATACAACCTGGAACCATGAATAAGTTAGCACCTAGGGCATGAATCTTGACCAAAGAACACTAGATAAGAGGCATCAGAGTAGATAAAGATAGCCATCCTCGTTTATCCATTCTACAATCTACTGTGAGATGAAGTCTTTTTTTCAAACTTCTCTTACTAAATCCCATATATCAAGTTTGGACATGTCTGTGCTATGCCTCTTTGTAGTAAGTTGTGATTTAGCGATCATAGCAATGAAACAAGATTTTTTTGTCCTTTTTTCCCCTTTTTTTAATCTTTACCGTACTGACCTTTTATACTCCAAATTAAGAATCTTTTTTTTAATTTTTTTTAAGATTTATTTATTATTTTTATATGTGAACTGGGGTACAGGCCAGGAGTGCGGAAGGGTGAGAGGATTCTCCAGAGACAGATCAGGGTGCAGAACAGGCAGATCTTCCAAAATACACAGCTGAGGGGAACAGTGGACATGACAGGAGAGGTCTGCTGCGCCATGTGGGATTCTCGCCGGCCGGCCGGGATGGAACCCATGCTGCAGAGGCTGCGGACAACTTCACAGCACTGTACTCAACCCGCTGCACCACTGGGGAGGCCCCAAATTAAGAATCTTAATCCTCATCTCATATCCTGCCATCTAGAAATTTGGGCCAAGACAATGATACAAGTCCAACTATAACAGGACTGTAGTAAGATCTTGCAAGTCCTTACAGAGTATGAATAAACTCATTTGTAGTGGCTGATTTCTCACTTGGGGTAAAATAATCAACACTGCAAAATTTTAAATGTGTTTACGCTTTTTAAGTTCCTAAATTACTTTTTTTTTTGGCTAAATTATCCATAGCCAACCATAAATGTTGTAAGTATCAGAGCCTAATGACAGACATACATGCAATATCTTAACCACTAGAATTTCATTTAATGGCGTAAATAATTCATATAAATGAAAAACTGAAATTACAGATCAAAGAAACAAAGAAAAATAATATAAATGAGTTTAGAAAAATTTTTATCTTGCTGCTGACAGCACATATTTAGAGTCTATGTTACAGAACTATGTAACATATTATATGTTGTACTATAAAACTATAGGAATCAAAATCAACAATACTATAAAGATAATATTTTAGAATATGCAGACCATGTATTTGTAGAGTCTATTTCACTGAATATAATAGTGTCAAAAACATTACTAAAAAAAGGAAAAATTGCAGTCTCACTAACATTTCAGTAGGCTTTGAAGACTAGTCTGCCATATATAAATAAAAAACACCCAAGCAGCTTTGGTGAGAAGATGTAAAATAATTTAATATATTGACTAAATTGTGCTAACGTAAGACTTATGCTCTCTTTCATTTTTTCCTAGCCAGCTAAAATAAATGCATATATTTTCGTAAGGCTTTGGTCTTTTCCATCTCTGAGATGAAGTAGAAAAAGCAAAGCAATATACACAATGAAATAACCTTATTTATAAAGTTCGGTATATAAACCTGGTAACAAGACAGAAAATTAGTCATGTGTAAAATAGATCATACATTAATATCAATTATTCAAAAAAATTCTAACAGTTGAAAGAGACAAAGAGATGGGCCTCCCTGGTGGCGCAGCGGATTAAGCACAGCGCTGTGAAGCTGTCCACAGCCTCTGCAGCGCAGGTTCGATTCCTGGCCAGCCAGGGAGATTCCCACATGGCACAGCAGACATCCCGCTGCTCCCCTCAGCAGTGTGTTTTGGCACTCTGCCTGTTCTGTTCCCTGCTCTGTCTCTGGTGAATCCTCTCACCCTCCTGAGCCTCTGGCCTGTACCCCAGCTATTGTATAAATAAAAAAAAAATAAATCTTTAAAAAAAAAAAGAGAGAGAGAAACAAAGAGATGAAAAAGTATGAAATACACAATGAGATAGTCTAATAGACATTTTAATCAAGAGTCACAGAGAGAAAAGAGAAATGACTTGTAAAGGTGATATCTGAAGAAACAGATCTCTGATAAATATCCAGTAATGACAAAAATCACAGTCCATAGACACAAAACATTCAAAAAATCCAAGCAGAAAAAATTTCTCTTTCTTTACATTCAGACATACTACAATAAAAGTGCAGAAAAGACAAGACAATAACAAAATTAAAAGCACCCAAAGTGGAGGAAAACTCTTGGACAGGGGTGCTGGTGAGGATGGATAACCCCAGGGAAAATGTAAATAAAGTATTGGTGAGGGTAGAGACTCTGATAAGAAATATAAGGGACTGAAGAAACAGCTCCCAGGATTCAGTGTTCGGGATTCAGTGATTGGGATTCAGTGTTTTCATATCTTTAGCGAAAGACAGAGCAAAAATTTTTTAGAAAATAATTGTAAAGAAAATGAGTAAAAATCAGGCTATTTTTCACATTCTAAAATATTATGTTTTCTACCATTGGAACATCTAGCAAACAACAGGTAGGCCTTGCATTTGCAGCAATATATAGGTTGTGGGGCTTTGGGCATTTAAAGGGGCCTGAGCAGAGAAGTAGCTCTTCTGCCTCTCTCAGTGTTAGAGTCCCTCTAGCCTTTGTCTGCCTGCCTGTGTGTCTGGGCCCCTGTCTCAGCATTAAGGGCCTGCAAAATCCACTGTGAAGGCTCAAAATTCCCTTTTTGTCTGCGAGAACTGACAATAAATCTACTAGCCTAGGATGTTTACACAACAATAATGTATAAGGATATTTACATGAGCTTGTGTTTAAGACATTCTTTTAATGAAAATACAAAATAGACTAATCATAAAAGACTGAGAATTAATAGGTTCTATTCACTATATGGTATAGGTCCTATGATCCAATAATTCCATTCCTATATATGTAATTTGATATGTGCCAGGATATTTTTACAAGAATGTTCACAGAAACAATGTTCATAATAACCATAAACTGGAAATAAACAATAATAGAATGAGGGCCTCCCCGGTGGCGCAGCGGTTGAGCGCTGGGTTGCGGGGCTGCCCGCGGCCTCTGTGGCGCCGGTTCGATCCCCGGCTGCTCCCCGGCCACCAGAGGAGGGTCCCACATGGTGTGCAGACCTCTCCTGCCACCCGCTGCTCCCCTCAGCAGTGTACTTCGGTCCTTCTGCCTGCTCTGCTCCCCGCTCTGGCTCTGGTGAATTCTCTCACCCTCCCGTGCTTCTGACTGTACCCAGTGCTTGTATAAACAAAAACAAACAAATAAATAAAGCATGCCTCTATAAAAAAAAAGTAATAGAATGAATAAATAATTTGCAGTATGTTAATGAAATGGTCCAATGAAATGAACAAATCAGGAATATATATTAACAGATACATTCAATATCTGCACTGAATCTTAAAAGCAAGGTTATATAAAATTTAATAATTTTGGTATGATGAAAGGCACCATAAAAACAAGTTAAAAGATAAGTACAGAATGAATTTCTAATAAATATTTTAAGATATCAAATATCAATAATAAAAACCCACAAAAGTGTTCAAAATATTAAAGATAATTATGGGAATTCTAATGACTACAAACATCAAAAAAAGTCTTATTAATTATCAGAGATTTTAAAATGTAGTTATCAGGCAAATTTGACCTATTAAATATTAAGAGGTCTGACAATATCAGATGTTGCTGAAAATGGGGGAAATAGTGGTCATATACTATATAAACTGATTCAGATACATGGAGAATTACAGCATCAAGAAAAATTTTTAAAATAAAGAATGAAAAATTATACACCAAAGAAACACTTACATAGGTGTAAAAGGAAAAATATATGATGATTTTCACTGTAGCGCTGATTTTACTGGCAAAACTTTGCAAAATAAATTTTAAAAACTCATTGTACTGGAATATTATGCAGCCATAACATGAATGAATGAAGAAAATACATAATTATTGATTAAAACTCAAAATATAACATTGATTTTTTAATGCAATCACCAATAAATTTGTTAAGTAAAATTATATCCACATGGAAAATGCAATATATAATCATCATATTATAGTGGAGATAGGGACTAAAATGATAAATGCCACAATTAATATAGTTGAGAGGGCATCTGGTCAAAGAACTTCAGCTTTATCTTTTTATCTATTTCTTATTAAGGAAATCTATCTGAAACAAACATATAACATGCAATTTTTATTATGTATTGTATTATGCTCTTTATTTTTAAGTGCTTAGAAATTGTTTAAAATTACAAACTTTTAAATTATCAACTTTGATCTAGTTACTTCATTTTAGAAACTGTATCCCAAACACTTCAAAATGAAGAAAAACATTCTACTGTGGCTTAATTTGAAATAGCAAAGATCTTAGAAATAATCAAAATACTTCACAATATAGGAGTTATTAAATACATTCTCATGCATTTCATGATTATTACAGAGATATAAAGACATTTATGATTATAAAACGTATTTAAAACAAAATATATAGAATTTAAAATTTTAGAAATATATGCTCATTATAAATAATTAAGATATTAACTTAAAAAACAGTAAATCTTAACATGTTTATAGAACTATATATGATATTTTTATTATGCTCACAATTGTCTATGATTCCAAATTTTCTACAGTAAATATAGGTACCCTACTTTAAAATTATGAATTTTTTTCAAACTTACCATGATTTATTACTTCGCAGTTTCCTTGTATTTTGAAAATTTAATCTCAAGAGTTTTTCATAAGAGGAAGATATTGCTCCAAATCCACCAATCACAGATGATTTGCTAACAGACATATTCACATATATAAACCTGAAGAAAAATATTAACATTTATATTAGAATATGAATGCTCTCACAGTAACAAATATATTTCATGCAAATTCATGATTAGTGGGAAAAGGGTAGCAAGAATGAAAATCAAACCTAAGAATCAAAATATATTAAAAGAGAATTTAAATTTAAATTGTCAAAGCCAACTTTGATGAGAAACTAAGCTTGTTTTTGGTTATAATACTATTATAAACTTATCCTTTAAAATAATACTTAGTCTTTGTTATACTTCAGCTGTTTTCTTTTCCACCACTACTCCTTATACTTCTTTAATCTTTCTGTACCCACCCAATCTCTTAGCCTCAAAACCCACACTTCATTTATTACTATTCACTAGTTTTTATATGTATTTTGCTTTGTTGAACTATCCATTATGCAAACATCCAATACTTGCCTTTGTCATTATGAGTTATTTTACTACACATCATTCCCTCATCGCTATAAATGACATTCATCTTTTCTTATAGTTGAATAACTTCCATTACTTGGATATACCACATCTTCTTGATCCAATCCTCTATCAACAGGAATTTAAGTTGTTTCAATGTCCTATCTATTGTAAAAAATAAATTTAAAAAGGCTGCAATGAACATTATACAGTGTATAGTTTTTTCAGTTGATGATATCATGTTCTTCACATACATGCCCAAAAATGGGGTGTCTGGGTCACATGGCATTTTATTTTTATTGTTTTAAGGTAAATCCATTGCTTTCCAAAATGGCTGTACCATTTTACATCCCCACCAAGGGCGTTACAACATTCCTTTTTCTCCACATCTTTGCCAGCACCCGTGGCTGAGGCTTTTTAAATATGTGGTATGTAAGATATCTTATTTTGATTTTGATCCTTATTAAAAGCGAAAATGGACATTTTCCCTTAGGCCATCTTTGGTGTTCTTTGGTGAATCGTCTGTTCAAATAGGCTTCCCATTTTTTAATTAAAGTGTCTCATGCTTTAATTGTTAAATTGAATAAGTTTTTATCTTTGATATTAAGATTTTGCCAGCCAGTAATGTTTAAATATTTTCTTCCATTGAGTAGAATGTCTGTTTAATATACTTACGTTTTCTTTCACTACAAATAGGAAAGGAAAAATGTGATATATATAAAAATAGAATGCTACTCAGATTTAAAATAGAATAAACTTTTGCTATTTGTGATAATATGATTGGAAATGGAGAGGACACTGTTAAGCAAAATAAGTCAGAGATAGGAGGAAATACAGGATGGTCTCACTTATCTGTGGGATAGTGAAATATAGCAAAGGGTGAGTCAAAACCAAAGCAATAATAAAATCTTAACATCTGAATGCAAAACTGAGGCAACCATAGAGTGAGGATGGAAGGGTGGGACTAGCAGAGGGGAGGAACCCAGTAGAACATGGTGTAGGATTGCGAAGGCACTAGGTGTGCCAAATACATTTGTAGAGGTTTGAAACTATCATCCCAGAACAGATACAAAGGTGCAAACCTACTCTACCTCAACAAACACAATTTGGACAGGAAGGGACTTAATGTAATATCAAATATGAACATGCCTTTAATAAGATTTTTTTTAAGTTTGAAACAATACTTTTTGTATTTTTTAACTCATATTAAATTATTAGCTATTATCTGCAACAAAGCTATGTTGTATTTTTGTGAGTAGAACCAAATCGCGTTTGTATTTTCTCTCTTCTTGATACCATCATAATATGAAAAAAATGGTAATAAGCATTTTTATTACTCATGAAATGAATGTCCTTGCATAATTTCTATAGAAAATTTTGACTTTCTTTAAAATAGAGAACTGGCGGGCCTCCCCGGTGGCGCAGCGGTTGAGCGCTGGGTTGCGAAGCTGCCCGCAGCCTCTGCGGCGCCGGTTCGATCCCCGGCTGCTCCCCGGCCACCAGAGGAGGGTCCCACATGGCGTGCAGACCTCTCCTGCCGCCCGCTGCTCCCCTCAGCAGTGTACTTCGGTCCTTCTGCCTGCCCTGCTCCCCGCTCTGGCTCTGGTGAATTCTCTCACCCTCCTGCGCTTCTGACTGTACCCAGTGCATGTATAAACAAACAAAAAAAAAAAAAAAAAACCAAAACAAAATAAATAAATAAAAACATGCCTCTATAAAAAAAAAAAAATAAAATAAAATAGAGAACTGGCAACGTGATTCATTACTGTTTTCTTTTTTTTTTTTTTTTTAGGAAAACCGATTTTATTATTTTTATTTTTTATTTTATATATTTTTTACATCATTTTTAATTTTTGTACAATGTATGCATTTTCATCTTGGTTATAGTCCCCATATAATTTCCTTTATTTTTTATTGGAATAATTTTTAAGAACTGAAACTGAGCAGAGCCACCTTGCTGAGTTCCCAGAGACCTCAAAGGAAGTTAGCAAAGCTTACTTCCATTGGCAGGTCTGAAGAAACCTGAAAAAAAACACTGTTGGAAATCTTGAGAAGAGGAAATCTATTCCAAGTCACTACTGTAGAAGGCAGTCTAGTGAGACTGACCCGTGGCATGCCTGGAAAGGCTGAATGTTGAAATCTAAGATCCCTTACAAAAAGTCTCAACAAAATCAACAGAAATTCTCCTCAGTTATTCTGCCCTATTAGCTTATGCAAAAAAAAAAAAATTGATCCAATGGATTAAAATTAGATGTAGTTTACAAAAAGCATTTGCTGTTATATTTAATAGGATTGGAATGGTGGAGACAAATTTAATTTGACAGTAGTGTCTCAACAATGTTTGATATTTTTCTTGTTTTTATTATCTCTAAGTTTTTCTGATAACTGCTATTTATTAGATTACCTTTTGTATTTTTCCTTGGATTGGCGGACTATTTTATATTGGCTAAGCATGAACAAAGCCATGTGACTGATTGTTATTCCCTTTGAATGTATTCAAACCCCAGGGCCTCCCTGGTGGCACAAAGGGTTGAGCACAGCACTGTGAAGCTATCCACAGCCTCTGCAGCATGAGTTTGATCCCTGGCCAGCCAGGGAGCTACCCACATAGCGCAACAGACCTCTCCTGCCTCACCTGCTGCTCCCCTCAGCAGTGTATTTCAGTCTGCCTGTTCTGTTCCCCACTCTGTCTCTGGTGAATCCTCTCATCCCCTGCACCTCTTGCCTGTACCTCAGTTCTTGTATGCATAGATAAATCGTAAAAAAAAAAAAAAAAAAAAAAAAACACAGAGAAAACTCTATCTGACAACTGACTTTCATCACCAGAGATATAGAGGGGGGAAAAAATTCAAGGGGGTAAATTTTAGTGGATGCAGCATGACTGCTGGAGTCCAGGCTGGCAGGCTTGTACTGCTTTGGCCAAGCCATACCCATCAGGAATTGGTGCCAAACTCCACTCCTTTATGTACTGAATAGACTCAACCCCCATCCCTATGCCACCAACATCTTGGGGACCTAAGATTAGAATTCATTTAATGTCATGAAATGGACTTCCTGAATGTGGGGGTTGCTGGGAAGGAAAATGCTGGGGGACCATGGTGAACGGACAGAATGACTGAAACCACACTGGTGGACATTTCTCCTGGTCTTTTTTTAATCAGCTTCCATGTGCACCCAGCTTTTTGTTCATCCAACACCAGTAAGATAGTATCATCTTGCAGTCCAGCAGCTTTGGTGGTGGTGCAGCATTGGGGTACACAGGCCCAGAAAGCATAGGAGTTTTGGGGGCTCAGAGTTAACCTCTGAAGCATCCATCCTTCTCCAATTCTCTCTCTCTCTCTCTCTCTCTCTCTCTCTCTCTCTCTCTCTCTTTCTCTCTCTCTCTCTTTCGCTCCCTCTCTCTCCCCCGCCCCACCTTCCTCCATCCCTCCTCTTTCTTCTCTGCCCCTCCCTCTTTCTATGCCCTGTGTATATAAATCCTCTATTAATCCACTTTTTATTCTATGTTTTGGGGTCTTCTGTTCTTAAGCACACAGGTGAGGATTCACAAACTGGGCCGTTCCCAGATTTGCTCTGTTTCAGTATCACTCACACACTCTAGCAACATAGAAAAGTATTCACACAACTCTAGCAACATAGAAAAGCTAAAAATTAATGAGCTAACATAAGAAATGAGAAAAATAACTAGAAGGGATTTTTTTAAGAAATTAAATCAATGATAAACAGAACAAAATTTGAGAGAGATAAGCAAAATCAATATGCTCAAAGTCATTAGCTATTGAGAAATTCAAATTAAAACCACAAGGAAAGACTACTCTCCTCTAACTAGAATTTTTAACAATAAAACCAAATTGTGAGTCGTGGATCAAAGGAGTTCTCATACATTACCAATAACCACTTTGGAAATCTATTTGCACTTTAGAAAGTGAATTAACTTTTTATACCTATCTGTTGATCCTGAAAATTCATTCCAAAAGAAGTGAAAACACTATCACAAAAAGACAAAAAGTCTTTTTTTTTTTTTTTTGTGGGACCCTCGCCAGTGGCGGGGGAACAAACCGGTGCTGCAGAGGCTGCGGGCAGCTTCGCAGCCCAGCGCTCAACCGCTGCGCCACCAGGGGAGGCGCCCACAAAAAGTCTTGCACTAAAATGTTATTACTGTGTTATTCATAATAGTCCCAAAGAGAAATAACCCAAACACCCATCCATAGGAGAATGGAAAAACAAATTGTGGTATGTTTATATAATAAATTCCTTCAAAGTGATAACAAAGAACAAACTAATGTTACTTGCAACAACATGGATGACTCTCAAAAAATATTATTTTGAGTAAAAGAGGCCAAAGAGTGTGTGCGTGTGTGTGTGTATATATATAGATCAATAATAAGCAACATGATGACAATCTAAGAGAAAATGGGAAGTGGGGGCTGGCACAAGGATTGAATTAAAGGTATGATGAAAATTTTATATATTTTGGCATATATATAATATATATTTATATATTATATAAAATTTATATATTATTAATATTATTATATTATAATAATATATTATATATTAATATTTCTATATCATTTATATATTTATTAATTTATAGGTTATATTAATATATATTTATATATTATATAAAATTTTATATATATTGTTGGCAGAAACATAGGTATATGTATTTATTATATTAGCAGAATGTATTTTCAAAATGGCACCTCTCCCATACTATATATTGTTTTGCAATATGGTCTTGCCACCTCCCTCAAAGGTGTCTAATTTGCTCTATCCATGAATCTGGATTTAACTTAGAGACTTGTTGGACTAATAGGGTGTAGCAGGAGTGACTCTCAATGACGTGGAGCTAGACCATATAAAATGACTTGCAGTTTCCTCTGCAAGGAAAATTAGGGAAATTCTCTCAGATTTCAGCCACCAGGCTGAGATGCCATCATCACATGAAGAGTCATGTATAAGGCTGGTAAATCAGGTTTTCAGGTAATAGCAAGCAGCAACTGTCAACCATGTGAATGAACCATTTTGGATGTCCAAGCCAGTCAAGCTTGCAAATGAAAATAGCTTCAGCTGAGATCTAATTGAAATCACAAGAGAGATCCCCAAGTAAGAATTACCCAGACGCATACAATCAACACCAAAAACATGGAATTGATTAAAAA